TGAGTTAAGCCTGTGAACTTTTTTGTTTGACGTGATGACCTTTATTTGAATTTAAATCTGATTCTGATTCTGAGCTAGTTGCACTTTCGTGACAATCACCAGAATACTAGCAGCAAGGCAACAGGTAAAGAAGTCCTTGATTTTCATTTCTAAAATTCATGTGATGAGTTTCACTGTGTTAGAATGTAAATATCTGATTGATTCCAGCATGAATACGTAGTTTTTTGGATGGTTGAATTCAGGAAACGAAAGAAAGAGGTCCAGGGGGTTTTAGTAAAATAATTACGTGATCATGTTACTGCGTACAAATAGACATGATATTCTTCAAGGACTTCCAAATAAGCATAAGTGTTCAGAGGTAATAACATGAAATCAGATCTAATTATAATAATCATCGCTCCATTGACACAAGCGCTACAGTCGGACAGTTTAAGCTCTTGTGAAGCTCTTGGGGCTTATACATAATCCATGCACAATGAGCAATTACCTCATTCAATCTGATAATATAATCTTCAGTTGGCCCCCAAGCACAAAGATGCGCCTGGACATCTGGCGCTCTAGCCTGTAACATAGGGTTGTATGTATCTGGCGGAAGAGATGGGAAGCATTGAACTTGAATCCATGTGTCCCAAAGGTTCTGAGATAATTTAGGCGATCGCCGATGAACACAAATAGAATAAATCCTACCGAACATGCGCTTTTTGGTTTTTCCAGCTTTGAATGTAATGAAGCTATTGTTCGCGTTTGCAGTGAAGGTAGAAAAAGAAACATCCATGTGTTTAATCTGCTTATGAAAAAAAGCACGCGGAGTAATTGGAGCACATCCCACCAAATCATCATCTTCCTTTTGACACCACTCATCTGGAAGGAGCCACGTACAGCCATCCGCTCCTTCGCTGTTCAGATACCTGCGTATAAGATTGAGCATATTGGTGTTGATTGGCTCAAGCTTTGAGTTTGACAGCTTTTTCGGAGCACATGTGGAGGGATTGTAAAGCGATTGAAGACGTGTAGCGTATGGCTTCAGAGGTTCAGGGAGTTTCTCATCCCCAAGAAGTGCCGACAGGTTTCCAGCACGGCAAAACCCTTTGACAAAAGTGATTTCGAGTTCACCTAATATCACGAGTAATCCAATATTAAAGAAAACATTTAAGCAAATTCTATGCGAATCCAATTCAAACAGTGGAAAGACCTACCTATGTGATTGTTGTGGCATCCTTTGAGGATGGTCCCCATCAAACGTTCAAAAGGAAAGGCCCACCATGCACGTACCGGTCCAAATCTTTCAAGACAATCGGCTAGGTGTACGGCCATGTGATGATTTGGTGCGAGACTACAATGCTCAAATAGTTGCGCGGAACTTCGTAGATATTCCCCAATATGATATCGATACTTTTCGATCCGATCAGCATTCATAGTACGCTTCAAAGCCAGGTTTACAAGAGAGACAAGATGGCAGAAATTCTTGAGAAGGCTGGTTTTGGAATGATCTCGACCGCTCCATAGAGGAATCAGTGTCAAGGGCAGCTGGATTGTAAAGAGATTACGCCATTCGTCGGCTTTAAGCTTTCCGAATGATGCCTTCCCAATCACAGGTATGGCTCTTTTGATCCAAGTAGGTATGTGTATCCTGGGAAGTAGGGAATTGATCGACTGTAACATCCGGTGATCAAAAACAACATCATCCGAGGGCGAGATCCATTTGGAATTCCAACCTGGGTCATCCAGTGGGTTATATTCTTCATCGTCAGACGACTTATCTTGGGGAGAGTGTATGTCGTGTATAGTTGCGCCTTCCTCTTCTGGGACTCTTTCAGAAGTTTCTGCTGTCCGTTCGTGGTCTTGAAACTCGGTGTGCTCGGTAAATAGATCAAAAAGTTCCTGTTTACTGATTGGCGGTAATACATCTTCATCATTTTTGACGTCTTTCATAGACCAGAACCGCCGAAGTTGCCACGATAGTAAACCCAAGAGCAGGTTATGCATTGAGTCGACGATATGATATTCCACGATGTTCCAATAGGGAAGATCATTCAATACCGAGTATCTAACACCGTGTGTCTTGAAAATTGTCTTACGCTCTTTCACGGTCTTTGCATCGCGGGCTTGGTATGCCCATTTCTTGTGTTGATCCCATGAACGGATTGGCCACAAAGACTGATCGAAATTATGGATGTCACATTTCATGAGCAAACAAAATGAGCAGAAATAGTTGGCGGTGGCGCTTGGAAACCCAAGAGACCGTCTTAAGGCTGGGATATCAGCAATGAATGGTAGCAATGCACCACGGATGAGTCGTCCACTTTTATGCTGATGAGTTCGAGACAGAATCCAGCCTGGCTCCCATAGCTGTTGAAGCTGGGTCACAATTGGTTGAAGAATCCAATTCATTTGTTCTAATGATGGCTCCCGTGGCCCAGGAGCAATACCGACGAGGAATACATTCTCAGGTTTATGACGAACTTCGATTGGAAGACTGAGGCAGATAAGGACAATGAACATTATAGAGTCATGATGCCCGCTTTGCTTATTACCAAATGGGTTAATCCCGTCAACAAACATCCCAAACACCAGATTCCCACTTGTAGCTGTGAACTGTTTACCGTCTGGACCACGAAATTCTTTCCAGGTTCTAGATTGGTGGATATCGTGTACGTCGCTTTTTGGATTGAATGGTTTCCTTGACTCGATCAAGGATTCATCGAGCTGTGACTCAAAGAGAGGTCGAGAAAACAACCGGCCAAGCCAGTCCAATAGATTTTGAAATGCATATCGGCGAACTGGTATCTCTTTACCTCGCACAAAACGTAGTAAGGGATGTCCACAGGTTTCCTCTGTGAAATCGAGTGTTTCTGCGCTCCCAACTGGAGCCGTGATTGATGAGATCTCAGTGTCTGCATCACCTGAATCAGGCGGTCCTCCTGGAATACTAGCAATACGATGATTGCACAAAACGGGTGTTCTTGAAATGGGATATAATGCAAAGCACGATCGACAACAATTCATATATACTAAGTTCGGATCGATTTGCAACCATCCAATAGCTGTGGTGATTGTGCGAGGAAATCTTTTTAGAGTTGAACTTTCTGCGATGTCAAGCTGATGTATAGAATTGTCCATTACTAGTCCGTGGGTCACCGAGAGTTCAATTGTGATGCGCATCATATCTTAAGAGCCAGGCAGAGGTTGACATTGAAGGAATGATCAAAAATGGTCATGATGGCGGCTGTGAGAGCCACATGAAGGCAAACAGGGTTGAACTTGGCCAGGGTAAACGAATGGAAGCGGCCTACAAAGATCAATTAACATGTGATCAGGACTTCTGGTTGGTCGCTTCTCACAAAACTAAAGATCATGAAGAAAGACAACTTACTACAATCGTATTCTTGTGCTCCTTTCTCTCTTGCTACAGCTATTGCAGTGCAATGAGAAGCATCTACAATATCAGATTTCTCCTGATCCGTGACAGTCCGGTCTCGATCTTCAGTTGTGGAAAGGACTTGATGTTCTCTAGTATTAATGAAGTTGTTTCTGGACCTTATTTCGTGCTGTGGACCTAACAGCAAACGGTCAAGAGGGGCTATCAAAGAATCGAGTTGAGACTCTGTAGTAGGTGTTTGACTCGAGGTTGTTGCATGGTGAGAAGCCAAAGACTGATGGATATGATTGCGTTGATCAGCACGCTCGTGAGCCTCCTTGGTAGACGGAAGAACCTCCACGCCATGCTGTGAGACCCCACTTGCATCTAAATAAAGACCCTTATAACACCCAGAGCTTTGACATTGACAGACAACCCGCTTGGGTTCAGCTTTAAACTTCGAGGATGACATTTAAAAAGTGGTATGAATTATCTGATTGCGTTGGTGCGAGTAAAAGTTGATGAGGCAAGCGAGACGGTCCAAGTCCTTGCTCAAGAGCAGTCAAAGAAAAGTTTTGGTGAGGTGTGATGATGATATGGCAGCAAATTACGCGAGACTCAAGATGACTCGGGATAGGCAATTCTTTTACGGGGATGGACTAATCAGCTGGACAAGGTACATATATTATTTCATCCTTACATGAGACAGAATCACTATTGAGCGGATATACAAAATTCAAATGGTCATGATTGGAACAAGTCCGTGGCTTTTAGATGAAACAGCTTTATATATTGTAGATTGATACAACATCACGAGACTCTTGGCTTATCCATCACGAGCGTATAGGAAAATTCAAGAAGATAATGTGTGCGGTGGAAGGCATGCCAAAAACAGACCGGTATGCTTCCTTTGTTGAGGGGTCTTATGGCTTGAAAATAGTACAGTAGATTGGAAACTATTGATACCACCTACGTACAACAACAAATCAGAGGTCAGTTTCAAACAGTCTCATTCCCGAACTTGCACAGAAGGACACAAAAAGGACTAAACCAACCTTATCTGTCCGTAAGGAGTTGATGAAAGGTCGCTAAATCGTGATGATAGAGTAATGGAAACCTTCCACTGCTTTACGAGACACAGTCTCGGGTTCTTCTCTGACAAATTGTTGATAGAGACTAACCATCACCGGGTGTACCATAGCTACCGAGTGAACAAACACTTGGGGAGCGTACAATTGCAGTGCGAAACGGAGATCTTCAACAGTCTCTCGCTGAAGCCGGTCACCAGCTAGGACTCGGGGTTTGGAAGTCCATCGGGAATCTTTTGGTATACAAATATCACTGTCAACGTAGGCCTTGTAAAGCCAGAGCAACCCTTCACGACGAGCAATTTTTGGTATTTCAACTTCCGGTTCTTTTTTTTGAATAGCGTCTCTGAGCATTTGACAAGTTGTTTTGCTGCTGAGTGGATCGAAGTCTGGATCTGATTTGGTTGTTTCTTCGGTTTCCATTTCATCACCAGCAGGATGTCGGGAGGAGATATAATAAGGTTGAATCAATGGTTTGACGTCCTTGTCGAATGCGGCGATCAGGACTTGTTTCAAATGAGTCGGACGGGACTTTGTTGCAGGATCGAAATGAAACACGATACGGTAGATTTGAGGCTTTGTAATTTTTTTAGTCATCTTGGCGTCCCATTTGGATTGTAAGAAAGGACGTAGATCATCTGCTATAGTTTGTAACTTGATGTAATTTGTATCTAAGAAGCTGCTGGGTGCATGAGGGGCTGGAATTGGTGGGTGCTGTGTCTTGTCGGTACTCGACGTGATCGGCAACGCAGCAGGAGTTACCTTGTTCGTCGGGGATGATGGATTCGAGGGTCCTTGCTTGGAATTCTTACGTTTTGTCATAGCTCACTGACATAACACCTAGGAGGCAGTCAGAGTCTGTCAGTGTTGAATCGCACTGATGCCTTTCAAGAAATCTCACCTGACTCGATCGCACAGCAGAGGATCCAATGTTACGACGAAAGACTTCTTCTGACCTGGGGTACTAGTTCGAATCTTGAAGAAAATCAACACAAATAAGGAGATGCAGGATGATATTATAATCAATAGCCTTGAGACAGGGATGGATGCAAACCTGGAGATCACGGCTCCCAGTGAAAAAGGATGGGATAGTGATATTGATGTATTGGTAGTGAGATGTAAGTGTGATGAGAAAGCCGAATAGGAGTCAAGCAGAGAAAAGTTAAACGAAGAAAGCCGACGTCATGAAATTCAGGTCAGTCATCGTACAAAAAAGACGCAGAAATGTCTGGACTCACCAGATTTGAATGGATGCTACCAGGTAAAGCGATTGATCAAACCGTATGAATTGCTTCACACCCTATATATTGTAGTACTTCAAGGAATAGAAGAGAACGCAGTGATCAGCGTAGGGCAAAAGAAAAAAGATAAGTAAAACTTTGAAGCGGGACAAAGATGGTGGTAATTATATATTACATGCAAGAACGGAGAAGAATTTATAACAAACTACAAACACAAACAAACTCCACACCGTGATCACTGAAATGATCTTGAGACCGACTCAGGAGAGCGTCACAGCCGATAGAATTATGAGGTGATCAAGTGAAGCTTGTGATTGGCGCGAGGTTTTATATGGTACGTCAAAGAACACCTCATGAATGGGAACACTACTTGGCCACCCATTTCCATCTAGCCCGTTGCACTAGAACTTGAACATACATTGTTCTTGTGGTATGAAGACATGTCTAACAAAGACGTACCAGGACGTACCATGGGGACAAATACAACTCGACTCAATTGCGATAGAAATCGGAATTTGTACGAGGGAGCTGATGGGGATACAGCTAATTAGTTGTATGCTTTTAGGTAACCATTTGAGATATATTTCAAAGGTTTGATGAAAATCCGATCAATCTAAGAGCATTTCCTTTTGTTTAGTGTATCCGGATACGTTGGATGTTCCTCCTTTGGAGGTTGTAGGATGATCATGGTGGGTAGAACAGTGAGGTCATGCACTACAACCTAGTTGCTTTAGAATAATTCTAACTAACAACTCAACTTGTGCTTTTGTCAAAGCAAGTAAATTTTTGTATTAAATTTATACAGTAATGTGATCTTTTAAAATACACCAATTGACAGTTGTAACTCAAAGATAGCAAGGGTATATCTTGAGGAATGAAGCAAGGAGAAGGATTCGATGACTTATGAAACTAAAAATGAAAAAGGATTAAAATTTTCTGTGATCCTGTGTTTTGACACATGTAGAATTTTATTTTCCGCGCGGAAAATATTATTTTTTTGGTAGTGTTTACTAATCTCTTTACTCCGTAGCTGCTGTTGAACCCATCTTGGCAAAGCGATGG